TCTAAATCCCAAGTTCCCTCCTAAAACACATTCTTTTAGAATTTCACTTGTCAAAAACCCTAAATTAGACCAAAAACCAACCAAAAACTTCCCTTTTTACTGCTTCAAAAATCCACAATATCTTATAACCGAGTATGATCTCAAACATAACCACTCAAGTGATGAAAACAAATAACATTCAATAGGAATTCACAATAATACTTTTCTAATTTTAGGTAACACACATTTACATCAATTTCAAGCAATCACACTACCACATCATGGGATTTTTCAGCAAATTATATATATCCTAACTTCATAACTCAATCAACTTTCTTAATTAAAGCCCGCCAGTTCAAATTTAACAAATCTTCTTAAGCCTTATAAACAAACATAACTCAAACAGTGGTAAGAGATCAAAACTACTCACTCAGCTCAAAGAACTCTATATGTATCTACATATCACAAAAACATGATCAAGGTACGCAATTAGAACCACTGATCAACAAAGAACATACTAGAAGACTAGGAAGGCATAACGTCAAGAATGCTCATATGCATGGAAGGAAACATATAACTCAAGAAAAGAGTAAAAACTAACTTACTCTTTTAAGAAAATTGATCAGATGTAAAGAAAGACCTTACTACTGTGATTCCATAGGCACTTTTTGATATTAAAAAAGATAACTCAAGGGGTTAGAACTTGAAAAGAGAAAGGAGAGGATAAAATACTTGATGAACAAGTTTTTTAAAAACTCATAAAAATACACATTGCTAACTTATTTTTTTTACTAATCCTATCATTATTTGATCATTGTTGACCATCTAAATGGATTACATATTAAGATTAAAATTAAATATCACCTGTTAAAAGAGACAAAAAGTACACAAAAATATATCTAGTGTTACAAAAAGACTAAAATAATATTGGATCAAATAGAAACCAAAAATTTAAATATTAATTAACTAATTTAAAAAAACATAAACAAAACCAATATAATATTTATTTATTTAGAATGAAATAAAAATAATCAATACAATATTTATTTATTTATTTAGAACTTGATTTGTTGAACATATTTATAATTAATTTCATCTGTAACATGTAATTAAAAACTTAAATTAAAATTTATAATGGATGAGCAAGATTTTAAAATGCCTCTTTACGAAAATGAGATTTGAAAAAGATGATATTGAAAAACAATTTGAAATCGTTGAAATTGATAAATAAGAGAAAGATAACACTATCACATATGATTGAGCATTAATAATTCCTCAGGAAAAGAACATCTTATCAAGCATGTCCTATATTATATGAGTTAACAATATAATCACAAGAACTTACTTCATTAATAACATCTGAGGACCCCCAAATTTTCATATATAAAGTAATTTCTTTTTTTCTTAAAGGTGGGGTTGGATTCATTGGGAGTATATTTCCGAAAATTATTTTTCCTATTGTGATCAAGTTTGTGTTCGTACCTTTTGGAGCATTTTTTTTAGCAAAAAGTGACTTCGTACACGTCTAAAAGGGTAGACACACGTTCTTGCCAACGCCGCAAGTTCTATCCAAAGAAGACCTCGATTTTGACATGTCCGAAAGTGGATTATTGATGTGAGTCATAAATCCTTAAGATTGATGTAGAAAAGATGACAACATCACAAACAAAATTTCCCGAGACATGTAGATCACTTTCCTTAAGTACTTATCCGCGGTGTATTGTACAATTGTCAAAAATTTCTGAATCAAATATATAAAGATGATAAAAAAAGAAGGAAAGAAAAACTAGGAAGATAGTAACCATTGTCATGACAATAAATAATAAAAACTCACAGTTGACACTTATGAACCTTAATGAGAAAATAAAAACTTTTCACATTTGAACATTAATTTCGCCAACATTTAAAACTAACGTTTCTTTTTGCAATTATTATTTTATAACATATTGTCTCTTGATGTCCTCACACAATGGAACTCAACATACTTCACATACTTCATGCTCAAAAGTGCCCTACAGTATCAATGTGTTTTATGGAGCTTGCCATTGGTTAATCAATGTTACAAATATTTCCCTTTAGAGAAAGTGTGAGAGGGATGAAAAAAATTCAAAAGTTCTTATTGTCTTTTTATGATATTACAACCTTAATTTCTGCCACAAGCTATCTTACATTCAATTTCTATTTTTTACAAGTTTGGAGGATTCAAAGTTTGTTGATTGAAAATGTGAAGGATGGGGTGAAGTCATAAAGAATATGGCTAAATTGATGATGGTCAAATTTGAAAAATGTTGGGATGAATATAGCGTTGTGTTTGCTTTTGGAGTAATTTTAGACCCAAAAATTAAATTAGAAACATTGATCTCTTGCTTTGAAAAGATTGATAAATTGGCAAAAATCAAGAAAAAATATGTAAGCAATATAATAGTAAAGATGTGCCAACATCATCAAATGTTCTAAAGTGCAAACATGCACAATCTTCATCCTTATCCGCTTCTCATTGAAGCCTTTTTAATGTAAGTTGATTGCTTATTTATTTTTTACTTCAAATTTTAGTTGTTGCAATTGTTCATTATGCATTTTACGAACTTTTTATATTATAATACGAATTAAAAGAGCACAAACATCAATTTAGCAATACATCTGGAATGGCTCAACTTAACACATATTTAGATGAATCAACTCTATATTTTGATCTTTTTGGATCATATGAATGTCCTAGAATTGTGGAAAATAAATAGTCAAAGACTTTTTTTTTATCTATTTTTAATGACTAAAGACTTGTTGACATCTGAATCTTCATTTAACATTGAATCTGAGAATGTAGAAATAACTATGTGTACTTCTAATTGAAAGCATGAATTTGTTGTTATGGATAATTACTTGACTTGATACTATTTGTTATTGTATTATTTTTATTGTAAATTTATATATAGTTATTATTTGTGTTTCTATGTAGATGATGGAGAAAATATTGATTATAAAAATGTGTTGCTAAATGAAAGATCACATCCAACGTTATGGACATGGAAGATGAAGAATGATAAACTATCATGGTGTTAAGGTTTTCTTGAGGAACTTTTATTTAAGAAAATTAATTTATTTGAGGTTTTTTCTGAAGTTTTGATTTTTTTTTTTTAAATCTAAGTTTTCCTTTTTGCTTTTTATGCAAAGGAAGAAGAAGAGTCATAGAGTGGAGGAGCTGGAAATATTGTTGGACATATATTTGCATTTTGCTGAACTCTTTAAAATTAAAAAAATATATTTTTCTAATAATTTTTTGACAACTTATATGATAATTTATGATTGGTCAGTTTTAAATATATGAATCAATCAAATAATGATATATATTTTATTTGAGAATAAAAAACGAACTAAAGTGATCATTGCCAACTTCAACCTTTTACATTTATATTAAAATGTTGAGGTAAATGTATGATTTGAAAGAAAATTTTGTATTTTATTCAACAAGTCACCTCATGTCTAAATCCACCTCTTATAAATACACATCAATGGCCAATTGGTTGAAAGGGTTATTCATGTGCAAACAATCTTTCACAGTACTATAATACTAATACCAGTACCATATGACCAAACTATTCAAATTTGACTAATTCAAAATCAATAAATAAATAAAAGATATCACCATCTAACAAACTCTTTTTCATGTATATTTCAATGTTAATTGAAATTTATTAAAAATCATAAGATCCTAACACCTGAAATTTGTATTTTTATTTTATTTTTAATTGATAATAAAACGTGTGTTCAAAGGAGCGTTTTAGAATATTAGGAAGATTTATTTTATAAAATAGGTTAGGAATATTCTTCAAACACAAAAACTACTTGTACTAATACAATACAGTTTAATTTGAATATTCTATTCTGCTACTAATATGTAGCTTGTAACGAACTGTAAAAGTTAAGAAAACTATGAATGATACTGTATTTCAGTTTGTTTATTTAAGAACTTAAAAATATTGAAATACTTATATATATATATATATATATATATATATATATATATATATTTAGACTCATTACTTTCTTGTTGACTTATTTTAAAAAGTTTTACTTAAAGGTATAGGTTTAGGCTTCTAAAAAGGTCACGTATTAATTAGAATTAAGAAGTAGGGCGATATGACTTTATAAAACGCAATATAGTCTAAATTAAATTACCATTTTCAGTGCTTTGGAAATAATATTTATTTTAAATAATTAATTTGGTAATGAGATTTTTTAAAGAGATAATGATGTAAATTTGCAAGATTAAACTAAGATTTATTTTTCCGATTATGGAAATGTTAAATTTTGGTTGGTTGAACTGTTCCTCTTGTTTTACACATAGAAAAGGCGATTTTAACGTTACACAACAATATCACACATGATCAAATTATTTTTTACCAGAATTTTCAATTTATACATTTTGTTTATTTATTTCAAAGATTGGCTTACCTTATCAACTTAAAATCTGGAGTTGAATTAGGACCCTTTTTACCAAACCCTAACAGCACGGTGACTCATTTTTCTTCTTCTTTTCCTTGGTGAAATTTGAATATTTTATTTTCTACACCGTAATTCATTTCATTTTACAGATTATTCTACATCCAAACCATTATAAATTCAACAAAAATTTTTGAATTGAGAAAAACTATGAATTTTATTTCAAAAATTATTAAAATGCATCATCGTCATTTTTTTTTCTTTTGAATTTGAAGTAAGACTTCAGTAAAATATATATTTTTTTGCACAAAACAACAAAACTACGTTTTCCAATAATGTATTGTTACGCAAGTTTTACAAACTGCCAGAGAATATCTCCTTTCACATTAGTCATATTTTTTTCTTATAAAAAAAATATAAAAATCAGCAAACAGATAGCATGTCATTCCGTTTTAAAAAAAGCTCCACAGTTTTGGGTGTTTCGTAGAAAAGTAAAAGACAAAGACAGGAACAAAAGATCCTTATTTTGAAGGCATATCCAAGGCAGTGTCGTCTTTTACTTTATTACCCCTCACTCACCTCTTAATTAAGTAACTTAACTGCATCTCCTTTATGACCTCGACTAAGCAACTTTAACTCATAACTACTATCACTTTTTCTTTCACTGTTTTCTAATTCCGCTCACCGGAGATGGCTCTCCGGCGAGTATCCCTGTCACTTTTCCTTCTCTTCCTCCTCATCTCCGTCAGCTTCGGAAAGAAGCACAAATTCTCCGGTCCGATAAAAACCGTGGTGGTGATAGTGATGGAGAACCGCTCCTTTGACCACGTCCTTGGGTGGCTCAAACCCTCGCGCCCCGACATCGACGGCCTCACCGGCACCGAATCGAACCCTCTCTCCGTTGAGGACGCCGCCTCCCCCTCCGTCACCGTCTCCGACGACGCCCTCTTCATCGACGTCGACCCCGGCCACTCGTTCCAAGCAATCCGCGAGCAAATCTTCGGATCGAAAGACACAACCGCAAATCCGGCCCCTATGAACGGCTTCGCGCAGCAAGCGGAGTCCATCCTTCCCGGCATGGCCAAAACAGTCATGAGCGGCTTCAAACCCGAAACCCTCCCCGTCTACACCAAACTGGCCACCGATTTTGCCGTTTTTGACAAGTGGTTCGCTTCGGTTCCGGCCTCGACCCAACCGAACCGGTTCTACGTCCACTCTGCCACCTCCCACGGCGCCATGAGCAACGTCAAGAAGAACCTCGTCCTCGGCTTCCCCCAGAAAACCATCTTCGACTCCCTCAACGAGAACGGCCTCACCTTCGGCATCTACTACCAGAACATCCCCGCCACACTCTTCTTCAAGAGCCTCCGCAAGATCAAGAACGCGGTGAAGTTCCACGACTACGCCCTCAAGTTCAAGAAGCATGCCCAGAAGGGGAATCTCCCGAACTATGTGGTGGTGGAACAGAGGTACTTCGACGTGGAGGTTTTGCCGGCCAACGACGACCATCCCTCGCATGACGTGGCGGAGGGGCAGATGTTTGTTAAGGAGGTGTATGAGATTTTGAGGAAGAGTCCTCAGTGGAAGGAGATGGCAGTGTTGATTACATATGATGAGCATGGAGGGTTTTACGATCATGTGGCTACGCCGGTGGAGGGCGTGCCTAACCCTGATGGGATCATTGGACCTCCACCCTATTACTTTGGGTTTGATAGGTTGGGGGTGAGGGTGCCCACTTTTCTTATCTCACCTTGGATCGAGAAGGGTACTGGTATGTGATCGAAAATTTTGAGCTTTTTCAAGTTTTGTTGCTTCATTCAGATTTGAAATGATTTGGGTTTTGCTTGAAAAACTGATTTTTTTTATAGTGATTTTCATGCAAACTTGAAAATTGCTTCTAAATCAGGTGTTTTAATGAACTTTCATGTCTGTAGTGTTCTTATCCAGAGGTTGTGGTGGTGAACAGACGGCAGATGTTTTTTCATCTGTTCTAGTGTGTTCAGGGAACAACTTATATTTAAGTTTTTGAGCTTTTGTAGTTGTATTGGATAATTTAGATGATTGGGTTTTGTCTGATTTTAAAAAGCTGTTTTTTAAATTATATTTTGAATACTATTTCTAGAAGGAGTGTTTTAAAAATCCGAAAAACGGGACTAGGTAGATTGTTTTCGTCTTGTTTTCAGGGAACAAGTGTTAAGAAAATAGAGATATGATTGTGGGACAAAACTTTCAGATGTGGATCTGATTTATTCAAAACTAGATGAGATCTCAGACATTTTTTTAATATATAAAAGTTTGGACAAGTATGGATGTGTTGAGACAAACAAATTTTAGAAAACGGTAATCATACAAGGTCTTGCACTCTTAATCAGTTCTGTTTTGGTTTTATGGATTCAGTTTGTTGAATGTGCTTTGGCTTTGTTGGGTTGCTAGGGTATTTTGACTTGGTGCTGAGCGTGTTTTTGTTGTTGGACTTGGAATTTCAGTGCAGTTTTTTATTGAGTACATGCCCGTGTTGATGTCATTTTGGGTCTTGACATGGAGTTAATTGGCCAGTAGGTGGGTACTGATATTGGAGTTTTGAGACATAACTTTATAAATATACTCACTTTTGCACTTGATGGAGTTATGTGCGTACCGTTATCAGTATTAGTTGGAAAAAAGTTTTGTAATACTTCAAACTGATGTACTGAATTATGCTCCTGTGTACTTGTGTAGTTTTGGTGTAATCTTTGTGTATACTGTAGTTCTCACTTCTCAGAAAATCTATGCTCGTAGGCTTGTGAGTTGTAAGATAGTAGCTTATTGCTTGAGGCCAAATTTTGCAGTGATTCATGAAGCAGAGGGTCCAACTCCATATTCTCAGTATGAGCATTCATCTATTCCCGCCACAGTGAAGAAGCTTTTCAATTTAAAATCCAATTTCTTGACAAAGAGAGATGCATGGGCTGGTACCTTTGAAAAGTACTTTCACATTCGTGACACTCCTCGAAACGATTGTCCAGGTTTGCATCTACTTCTTCGATTGTTACATTACATCTGATTCCAGCATTCTTGATACTTTGTTCTGGTAGCAACCAATGCCCTTTGAACTACTATGTGCTTTGGTGAATTCATTTGTAGTCTCTTGCATCCAAATTAAGCAACTTCCTAACCAGAATTGATTGTGTGAAAATTTGATCTATCACCAAAAGCTAACTTCACAATTTGGTGTTCTTTTGAGAAACTTGAATGCAGTGTTGGAAATTTCGTATGTCTTTCATGGTAACTGCATTGAGAAAAAGCTAGTAAGTTGCCACTTTTGTCTGTATGTAAACCAGATTTGGAAGTATATTGAAACACCAACCATGTGCATCCAAAATAGAGCACACAGAGCGTTTTATCTGTCATTTCGCATTAAGAACTGTTTGATGCAAGTGATATGCTTATTTCATGCATTATTGTTTTTAACATTATTTCCATTATGGCTATTTATACAGAAACTCTTCCGGATATCAAGACACTAAGGGATCATGGACCAAGAGAAGACTCAAGTCTTTCAGAATTCCAAGTGGAAATGATCCAGCTTGCATCACAGCTGAATGGTGATTATGTACTGAACTCTTACCCAAACATTGGTAAAACCATGACTGTGAAAGAAGCAAACAGGTACGCAGAAGATGCAGTGAAGAGGTTCCTGGAAGCTGCAAAAGCTGCTCTTAAAGCTGGGGCTAATGAATCATCAATTGTCACAATGAGGCCTTCCCTCACAAGCAGAGTTGCAGTGGGAGATAACCAAAAACATGTAGAATCATACTGATTCTTTCACACACCACTGTAAATATAGTATATATTTAGCATATTCAATATAATGTGTAAGAAAAATAATATTCAAATTATTAGAAGTATTTTCAGTTCAAGAGCGATTAACCAGATAATTGATAATTTTAGTTCATCACGAACAGTAAGTCAGTTATTGATCACCAGTTGATTGTTCTTAATTGAAAAGAAACTTACCTAGAATAATTGAGTTTCCTGTAAATATTTTTAAATCTGTACCTCGTGTTTCATATAAGGAGGAATCCTAGCATTAATACTTTTTCTTTTTTTATATTCTTAGTCTGTTACCAAAAATCTATTAGATGTTACAAATTTAAGTTTTTTTTTTCGATATTTCATGATTTCTTTTTTCACTCCAATTTTTTAAAATGATTAATTTATCTTTTCTATTTTATAACAATTATGAATTGGAGGTTTAATTTCTTAGATTGTTCGAAAGTTTTTCAAATTGAAGAATCTAAAATAATAATTCAAGTTTCAATAATAAAATATGTAATCTCTCAGATTTTATAATTCATATTAAGAACTAAATAAACTTCAAAATGCACGATCTGTGAAAAATATCTCACTGAACCAATTTTAAATTATATAAAGAATTATATTTTAGAAACTTTATAATAGGTATTAACTTTCCTTTTTGTTTTTTTTATTTCTTTGTAAAAGAATTTGTTTTTTTATAAGTTTGTGTCTAAAAATTTAGTTTGATCCTCAATGTTTTTATTTTTTTATTTTTTTATTTTTTTAATAAATTATTTTATGTAATGACATATAATTATTAAATTTTGAATGTTAATCCAAACGAAATGTCATAATTTATAATGATTCTTTATGATTATTTTTAAAGTTTCAAATTGAAAAATCTAACATAATTTTTAATTGTAATAAAAGAAATACATAAAGGATTAAATAGTAATAAAAATATAAATTTTCTTTAAAAATAGTATAATTATTGAATATCAATATCTCGATCCGAACAAAAATCGAAGATCGATATTCTCAGAATTAGGACAAATCTCAATATTCAATATCATAAAAGCTTTATTTAAGTTTTTAAATTGGAAAACTTATGATAATTAAAAATTATAACTAAAGAAATATATATATATATATATATATATATATATATATATATATATATATATATATATAACTAAAGAAATTCATTTTTTTTACAAATGATTACCGAAGAACAATATCCTCACAAGTAGGACAAATTTTGATATTCAACCTCATGAAAGCTTTATAAGTCTTTAACATATGATATATTTAATATGATTATTTTTAAAGTTTCAAATTGAAAAATTAACATAATTAAAAATTGTAAGAGAAGAAATGTCAGAACCCTTAAAAACACTGTGTGAGTGGTGTTAGTGAAAATCAGAAAATGAAGGACATGTGTGAGCAGTTGAGTGGCCAATCGATTTTGACAGTTATGTAAAACTTAAACTTTCAATTTTCGTGCCACTTTCTTTACATGCACCCTTCATCTTCAACCTTCTGAACCTTTCATTTTCTCCTCCTTCTCTCTACAACCTTCTTTTTCTCTCTACAAAATCTTACCCTTTTCTTTTTTCAATCTTCAATCAGACCACGTCTGAGTCTCCCTGGTGCCAAGAGTTTCACTTTGCACCGATCAAGTTGCTGGTTTGAGCTGGTAAGTTCATTCCTCTCTCAGCACTGTTGTTTTTTGTCACATGCAAACCAAGTTTCTGGTTGCATGAGTTTGCCATCTCATTATGAGCACACTTCTGGTCTTTTGTTTGGTTTAGTTTCATAAATCGTGACCGTAGGAGTGTAAGATTTCTGGTGGTGAATTATCTTATACAAATTGTGAGCGTTCGACTAAGCTTAAGAGGTAAGGGAAGCTTATATAATTTGATTATGATTCTTGTTCTGAATGGTTTTATGTTGGTTTGATTATTTGATGAATACGAAGTATTGGTGCTAATGTATGTTGTTTATATGAGTGGATGATTTATAATTGAGGTAGACTGGGTTGAGTAGAGTTTGATTTTCAATATGCAACTTTCTATATAATCCTGTGTTTGACACCGAGAGTTATTATTGACCGTTCGGTTTTCCTTTGAGCGTTTGGTCTAAACTGAATTCTTTTGTAGAGAATTTAGTTAATGACTGATCGGTTTTATATTATTATATATGTAAATGAGCATTCGGTCTACGTATAGTTTCAAATAAACTTAGTTAAGATATTCAAAAATACCTAAATTCTTAAACATTATATTTATCCTTTGTGGAAAAAAAGTCATATGTAATTGTAATTAGAATATATTCCTTCATTGTATAGTCTCAGTAGTGCTTGGTCATAAACCTAGCTCTTGGTCTCGGTAGTGCTTGGTCACAAACCAAGCGCTCGGTCTCAGTAGTATTAGGATTAGAAATAAGTGCTCGGTTATACAATATATTCCTTAATATATCTGCTTTGGGTATTAAGAGTGTTCGACCAAACTCCAAAGTGTTCGGCCCTAGTTTGTAGTGTTCGGTTTAAACTCTTAGGTCTCTGATAAAAACTTTCCTTATCATTCAGTCAGGTTTAAGTAGATGTATTCTATAGTATTCCACCTATTTCTTGGGTTTTGTCTAGTAAAGATCTTTGGGTCAAAGTTGTTGTGTATCTCGTAGTCTTTTCTTCTTCTTCTTCTTATTATTATTATTATAAGTGTTAGGCTTATGACGAGTCTTGTCTTTCCTGGACTGTTCGGTCCTACTTGGTGGATAAGTGAAAGACCGCTCGGTCTTACACTAAGTGTTTGGTTAGATTAGTTTAAGAAGTATTTCTCTCGTTCGGAGATGAAATATTGTTTCCTTAATTCAGTTTGAATGTATTGATAATGAAGTATGATGACTTTAAAGTATGATATGATTTGAATGATATGGATATGAAAGGATATTCCAGGGAGGAATATCTCAGGATTTGTTATGGATTGGTAAAGTATGAATGTGATCATGCTAAGGTGGCGTTTATCCTGATATTCTATGATTACTCATTCTCAAATAGAGAGGAGTAAATCATGTGTGAGAATGGCAGGAGGTCCTAGTCCATAAGGTTAAGATGGGCGATGTAAGAACGGACTAACCTCAGGTGGCAGCTGTTGAGGACATCCTAGCTACTACATCACCCGGGTGCAAAAACGTCGTAGCTACACAAAATTCATACAGTTCGAACAGTCAGAGTCAAGTGGTCGTTCATTGCATGCATTAATGTATGATTGGTGGATTGATTTAATTATGGAATTATATCAGTTTGATGTGAATTATATGTGTATTGAATTAATTAAATTACATAAGCTTACCCTATTTCTTGTCTTGTCTATTTTGTCCTTCTTGTTGTTGTTTTCTGTTGCAATGATCATCCTGTGGATGTGAGGAGAAGAAGAGGAGTTGCTGAAAGAGGCTCTTGAAAAAGTGGAGGTTAAGGCCGAACCATAGAACGTTTGGTAGTTATAGTTACTTCGTTTTGTATATCCGTTCGGTTTAAGATGGTTTTGTTGGAACCGTTCGGTCAAGTATTTAGCTTTGTAAAGTTTAATTTCTGTGGTATTTTGTAAGGTCGTTTGACCATAAGTGTACCCTTCCTTTTTGAACTGAACTGTAATATTGCTAATATGTGAGTATTCTATGATATGGTTTTATACTGTATTTTTGGGATGTTACATTTAATGATATCATAACAGTTTTGTTCCTTAGAAATAATGTAAGTTATGAGTATACTATGCTTTTGCTGTGTACTCAGTGTTCAGTTAATTAGTGTATTTGACTTTTTGGATTAAACTGATGGTTCTTTTTCTATGTTAATCAGAGAAGATGGCTCCTAGACCTCCTCCTCATATATCTGTCGATCAGAATCCATCTGACAACACCAGGTTGTTGGAATCAGTGATAGAGGCTTTACAGCAACAGAACGCTTCCTTAGTCCAACAGAATACAGTGGCATTACAAAGTTTGGAGGCTACTAGAGCAAATTCAGAGGCAACCCAAAGGCAACTCATGGGAGCTAGTGTATTCTACACGTCCAAATAAATATCAACCTACTAAGTCGACATATACCAAACTGACACATGTTCGACCAAGTCGAGATTATGCCAACAAAACTACTAGTTATAATAATTCACAATTAAGCTAAGGAGGAAAGAGTTAACTCAAGATTAATAGGTAACTGGGTCACATGGCCCAAGCTCATTCAGCTAAAGGCCCATGAACAATAGTGTAAATAACACATTCTACTAGATATATTAATTATGTTCATTAATGACCATGTTTATTACTTGTGGATGCAATTGGTTGACTTTTAGAGTATTTTCTACAAACACAATCCCTACTCGGCTAGGAAAGGACGATTACTTCTGGAGTTGGAAGCTTGGAGTGCTAGTTGGAGTCTTTACAAGATATATCTGACCTTGTAAGAACAATATATAATAATAGTAACTGTAATACTCCAAATTTTCACGTGTCTACATTTATAACTGCATGGACAACCCTACTTCAAATAGGTACTTTAAAAAAATGTCATCACTTTATTAAAATAAATAAATAAAAATAAGCAATGTCTTACATAAAAGAATTATTGATAAAGTGATGAAATAAATGAAGAAATTAAACTCTAAGACTTTTGCCTATTATTCCTTAGGTTTAATTGCTTTCTTTGTCCCTGGTTTGGATGTAGTGTGTCAAGTTCGTTCACTCTTTTAAAAAAGGTTTCAATTTCGTCCAAACGTGGTTTAAAAGTGTCAATTTTGTCCAAACGTAGTAAAATTTGCTTCAATCAAGTCTCTTTCGTTAAATCCACAGAAACGAACGTTAATTTTTTTTTCTCTCTTCTCTGCTCTCTGTGCAACGCGTCACTCTTTGTCAGTGCTATTAAAGTCCTTTTTTCTTTGGATTATGTTCACAATACTCATATGTGGTTTTACTTATCCTTTGGTTGGTACAACAATCAATTATATTAATAATTATTTTTATAATAAATTATAGTTTTATATACTTTATTATTAAATCTGATAACAGATATGTCATAAGCTATCGTTTTTTCTCTTTTCGTCTATGTTTTATTTTT